AGGCTGGGGTGCTCCTCCTCCGGTTGTTGTTGTTGATTGAGAGATCGTTCCTCTAAGGACAGAAATCAATTAAAATAAATAAATTAAAGCAGTAGAGTATTCACCATGACACAAGACGGTCTTTGTGCGGTTCTGTACATGTTTAACTTTTGTCCAGGTTCTGAACAGATATGAGGAGCCTTTGTGAGCTCCGCTGGTGTTTGCCTAACCAGCCTAACGGCCTAATGTTTTTGGGTTTTCTGATTTCAACGTCAGTGGCCTGGAGCATCCTCACGCCTGATTGGCTACCACGACGAACGCGCCACGGCGAATTTGAACGTTGAGCGAGTTTGAACATTTATTAAAAGAGAACTCGTACACACACACACACACACACACACACACACACACACACACACACACACACACACACACACACACACACACACACACACACACACACACACACACACACACACACAGGCTTTTGCATTTCAAAGTATTGCTTGTTCATACAGTTGAATTTTGGAGCTTCACTGTGCACTGCTGAATGATGTACAGTATGTGCAGAGTTTGACCCTTGAAGGCTGTTTCTTCTGATCTGAAATTGAATATATTTGTTACATATTAATAGAATTTTAGATTTTTTTATTTGATTTCGGATTTGTGAATTGGAGAAGTAGTAGATGGAAAACATACCAAACACACATTATTCAAAGTATTCAGAGTATTTCATTTTATAATTTGTAATACTCAGGAGGCATAGGCCTATATGATTATAATGTTTGACATTATTGATATAAAAAAAGTGATTTGTTTTCCATGTCATTCGTGTGTTTTTCAGAAAATGTAAGTTATTTATTTGTAAGCTCCAAATCCTAATGTTTCCCTCAATGGCCTTTGTGCCCTAAACAAAATGGTGACACCAAAGGCCAAATGGTCTTGCCCCTAAAAATGACGAAATACCAAGCCTGGTAGCAAGTAATAGTTAGACATTTTGGGAGGTGCGATTTTCTCTATCTCATTGAGAACTAGATAACAAAAGACCATCCTTGTATCTGTCTGTTGAATATAGGGAGCTTAGCAGAAAGAATACAAACCTAGTCGCTCTTGTCATCACCGTGAGATGTCCAGGCAACCAGCACTTCAGGAAGTGACTGCTCTTGGTCCACAAATAGCCGGCCACATAATCCCCTACTAAAACACTGCATCTTAAATGGCCTGCCAAACCATAACACATGTGATGCCTTTGTATGTCATAAAAGTGGAGTTCTTCATTTTAGTAGCAAAAATGAATAGGGATAAGTTGTAGAAAGGAAATAAAACAAAGTTTACCAGCTGATCTTATGCCAGAAGTTGCACAGTGTTTATAGTGTTTGTTTTTGTATTAACCTTCACTGTGTACAGTCAATCATAGTTTTTAAATGTGCTTATAAAGAAAACAGTATGGACATAATATTTGAGTGATTATATGTCTTTCCTCCCAGATTTCCCTCCAGTATTCCACATTAAGCTTAGAGACCATGTCCTGCTGGAAGGAGATCCAGTCACACTCAGCTGTCTGCCAGCTGGCAGCCCCCACCCACACATCCACTGGATGAAAGGTAAGGGTCTGTAATGTAAATAAGGCAGTGTTACCTAAGTGATGGTCTCACAGATGGCTGGTCAGAATCACTTCACTTGCTAATTACAATACTATACATCATTATTCATGATTGCATGAGTGCAGCAGAGGCATACATGTGGCGTGCATATGCATATATTGCAATAGTAGAGGAGATAAGATTTATTATTACTTATGAAATGGATTCAAACAGTTATGTATTCTTACACATGTTGTTTTTAACCCTAGCAGAACTTTGAGAGATGAAAGAGTCCACCCTTAAATTGTTTTAATAAACCTACATCATCATTATTATAAACTCATAATAAAATACTTTTTTAATGAATGTTTCCCCAGATAAGAAGCCCCTGGAGATTGACGCCAGGATGAACCTGATCGCCTGCCCTGATGGCCGACAGCTACTGATGATCATGCAGACCACCAAAAAGGATGCAGGGGTCTATGAATGTGTTGCTACGAACCCCCTGGCCGCAGTGTCCAGCTCTTGCACAATATCTCTTGCTCGTAAGAACTGACATCACTTTTATTATCAGATTATATATAATAAGGTAAAGTAACAAGTGATGTTATAGGCTACAGGGTAGACAACAGAGATCCTAGAACATAAAAAAACAATGGGTAAATGATGTAGACACTTTATAATGACAATATTTGTTTATACAGGTCTGCCCAACCGTCCTGGGACCCCTGAAATACCTCAGAAGTACAACAACACAGCTCTGGTACTGTGGAGGCCCTCAGACACAATGGCCCCCTGCACATATTCTCTGGAGAGAAAAGCAGAGAGTAAGTTTCTACTAACAATTACTTCATGTTTTATTCCTTCTTTTTAAAGGACAACCATTTAAGAGAATGGAGGATTTTTGTATTATAATGAAAGAAATCTATACGTCAACACAGAAATGGGACTAGCTTATAAATAGCAACACAAGATGTGCATGAATTTGATTTAGAGTAATCGTGCAAAAGTGTATAATAAACTCTATCTCTAGTGTTATGAATGAGACTGATCTTATGTTCCCTCTCCAGGTGAGAGCAACTGGCTGATCGTGGCTACAGGGGTGGCAGACTGTTATTTCAATGTGTCTGACCTGCCAGCAGGGAGCGCCTTCAGGTTCAGGGTGGCATGTGTAAACAAAGCTGGGCAGGGCCCTTACAGCAACCTCTCAGAGATAGTAAGCCTGGATGCTTCAGGTATGTATTCAAGTATAACAAATCTCTGTATTTTGTTTTGGCTTTCAATGTACTTATTTATGTGTGTCCTTTCAAATGTACTCGTTCTTCCGAGATACACCAAAGCGCCACAGGAATCCTTCCTGCCTGTGGCCATGACACTTTTTAACTCTTTTTAACTCCTCCCAATAGACTTGTATGTATATATAGTAATACATGTGTTATAGATCTATATTTTAGAACATAGTGCACATGTTTTTTTTTACTTTGACTTCTTACATTTATATAAATATTTGTATTAGATTCATTTTTGTTGTTGTCTTATTGGACATTTCTATTTTGACTTCTTATGTTTATATATATTTTTTATTCTACTTTATTTTATTTGACATTTAAACATGAGCAACTGTAAAAAAAAAAAATTGCCGTTTTCTGTTACAGTGTAGTTTTTGTTCTGCTCAAGACATAACTGGGTTTGAATTTGTATGTGGATAGTATTGTTTGTTGCACATTAGACATTATTCAAACCTGATGAGGTAAAAAAATTGCATTCTAGTAATAGATCATTACATTTGATAATTTGTCTTGTTCACGTATCAAGTCTTTGAGTTTTGTCCTCTTTGTCTTTCCTTAGAACCAGCTAAGTCCAGTGCTACTGTTGTGGTGAAGACTGTCCCATCAACGACTCCTCCTGCCCCTGTGGTGATGATGTCATCTATGAAAGTGCCTCCCATCAAACCTGCTTCCAATAAATCCTCCCCGGTAACACCTGCCCCTCCCTCGGCTTCTGCTCCCGCTCCATCTGTGGCTCAATCTGCCTCTACAGTAACCACTGTGAAGGTTGCTGCTGTTACTCCGCCCGTTAGCACAGCTCCGACCACCACAGCTCCGACCACCACAGCTGCTCCAGTCAAAGCCAAGAGCACCCTGACTATCAGCATGAGCAAGCCCCAGACCAAACTGGCTCCTCCCCCTGTTGTCCCACCCAAACCTCAAAGTCCTGTGCCCCCCTCAACCAGGAAAACCCCTTCTCCTCTACCACCACCTGCACCTGCCATAGGGAAACCTATTTCTTCCATTCCAATGTATGCGCCAGCTGTGACCGCGTGTGTTACTCCACCTTCACAATCTAGTTCCACCCCGGCAACCATCACCCTTACTGTTACCCCTGTGATCGTCTCACCTCATGTGATCCTCTCACCTCATGTGGCCGTCTCACCTCATGTGACCGTCTCACCTCATGTGACCGTCTCACCATCCGTGACCATCTCCCCGCCCGTAGTGGTGGTGCAGAGCTTGACACCACTAGTGCAGGGAGGGGACAACCGAGGTACCCCATCAGGACGAGTCACACCATCAGGACGAGTCACACCATCAGGACGGGCAACACCTTCGGGCCGCAGGACGCCGTTGGGACGGCCCGGAGAGGGATCCCTGCGCCAGGGAGTCCCACAGAAGCCTTACACCTTCATGGATGAGAAAGCAAGGTAATGACTACTGTAGGAACCGGAATTTAATATACAAAAACAATATAAAATAAACTTACTGAAATATTAGCTGAACAAACTCTACCTTAGAAACAAGAGACAGCAACTTTTAGACCTTAAAGCAAGCGCTTTAGGAAGTTGAAGCAAATGTGTGTAGTGGTACTACAACACAGTCACATGACATCATCAATTCACTTCGCAGGACGAATGCGTTAATGCCAATATTTTCCCTCTCCATTAATTTCACTGCGCTGAGACCGCTTTATGCACCACTGAGCTACTTTAGGAATGAGCGGAGTCCCGCCCCCAAAGCTGTATCCAGTTCTCTAATACATCATGGTGTAAAGCTGCACAATTGTACAAAGGCTAAACCAATGTGATGCATTGCTGTAGATTCAAGTACCCAAAGTATATTGAGTAAAAATGAGCACAACTTCTACAGCAGTAAAATGCAACAAACACAACAATTATAATCATATGCTACGGAGTACATTCATCGCGTTTTTTAGGTAATTATACTTGAGTAAAATATATGCATTCTTAAACTTAAACTGTTGGGAAGTAAAGAAAACAAAGACAGGCTTTATTAATAAAAAAATTTAGCCTTTAATATGACATGTTGAAATTTCGTAATTTTGTACTTAATTTTAATAAAAGACGATGTTTTAAAAAATGTAAATGTTTAACAATGCAAACTACAGCTGCTAACAGTCATATGATATACAATGATCACCATACATAGTTGCTGTATTCAGTCACACAAAAATGGAAAAACACAAACAGAAAAAATGCTACACAATTGACACAAGGTTGAGTCAAAAAAGAGTCAAAAATGATCAAAAATTAAACATTTGTCATCTGTATAACACGCTTATCTAGTATGCAGCGGAGCAAAAAGGACAACTTTTCAAAAGCGTGTGTCGTCTTTTTCAGACATGCCATTAATATCTGTTCAAAAATCTCTGTGTGCTCGTACAGTAAAGCATTTCAAAATGTAATATAATGGGGTTTTTTCACACAGGGGTCGGTTTGGTGTGATCCGTGAGTGCCGGGAGAACGCCACAGGAAACCTCTTCATGGCTAAGATCGTTCCATATGAGGCGGACAACAAGCAGACGGTGCTGCAGGAATACGACATCCTCAAATCCCTTCACCACGACAGGATCATGGCTCTGCACGAAGCTTACGTCACACCGCGCTACCTGGTGCTCATCTCCGAGTACTGCAGCGGGAAGGAGCTGCTCTTCAGCCTCATAGACAGGTGAAGACAACGGATGCTCAGATGCATTCATGAGCCTTCAAATATTCTCCCTCTAACAAGCTGTGTGTTTCAGGTTCCGTTACTCGGAGGATGACGTGGTCACCTACATCGTACAGATCCTCCAGGGTCTGGATTACCTCCACACACGACGCATCCTCCACCTGGACATCAAGCCGGAGAACATCATCATCACCTACATGAATGTCATCAAGATCATCGACTTCGGCAGCTCTCAGAATTACAACCCGCTCTTCCTCAAGCAGTTCAGCCCTCCTATTGGAACACTGGAGTATATGTGTAAGAGCTCTTGGTTACACAGACCTATCAGAGTGTAGATACACCTGATATAAGTCATACTTCTTTATGTTAGCAATAGATTACATGATAAATGGAACAATTATTCACTTGTAAGTTATTCTGCTCTACATTTCAGTAGTAAGGGGCATCCTAAAAATACAACGATTGAATCAAATGTATTCAATGGATGACTGACGATGTCATCGTCAGAAAAACTTTAAAAAACATATTTGAATTAAGGTGGAAGCACAAAGCGCTTCAGAAAGCGTGAGAATTTTCAGCTGAACACAAAATGCAGAAACAGACAAAAACACGTGAGTCGGTCAGATGTGGAAATAACTTCATAAATAATTTAAATCGGTAAACGACTACTTGGAATGTAAAATAATCTAATTAAGACTATTTAGAATCTATAAATCAAATCAAATGACAATTAAAGCCATGAATTGACCTATAAGAACATTTATATAAAACAAATAATAGAATTTTGCATCAGAACACATTTTATTGACGATATATTAGACATCATTTGTAGAATTGTGATTTTTACACCTTGAGTGTGTATTTTTAAATATCGTTCTGTGCTAATTTATTAGGAAGAAAACACTCATAATATATTCTATAACACAGAAATATCCCAGGTAAAATATAGAACAATGGAAAGATCTCACTTTTCGTTCATTCTCTTGAGAGTATTGATACAGAATGAATGTAAATGTGTATGGTTTTGAACCAACTTAAACTGCAATCACACACTAATAATCATAAACACAGAATCATAGGGAATATGTCACGAACTGCAGTCTTTGTGTGAATATTGAATTATAGTTCTGGGTAAAATAATGAAGGCTGTGCGTTGTTCCTCTCTCCTGTGTGCAGCTCCGGAGATGTTGAAGGGGGACGTGGTGGGTCCTCCAGCTGACATCTGGAGCATGGGCGTGCTGACCTTCATCATGTGAGCCCTGCTTCCACAGCTTCCACCCAGCAATACGTCTTTACATAGAAATGTGTTCTTTATGTGATATAAGGCCTATACGATTGAAATGAGCATTTTTTTATCTTTTCAGGATACTCTAATTACACATCATGTTAACAGCCTCTTGTGATATTCAGTTCCTTAACAACTAGCCTAATGAACTGTATTTTGTTATGCATTGTTGACATGTTTTGAGGGGTTTTGTAAATGTCTAAAATCCCCCTCTGTGATTTTCCAGGTTGAGCGGCAAGTCGCCTTTCATTGAAATTGAGCCTCAGGAGACTGAAGCCAGGATCCAGGCGGCGAAGTTTGACCTGTCTAAACTCTACCAGAATGTGTCCCAAAGTGCCTCTCTGTTTCTTAAAAAGATCCTCTGTAGCTACCCCTGGTAAGCTGAACGTGAATGCTTTGTTATTCAGATACTGTAAAGAATATCCATCAACTCCTATTGCTATATCATAGATATACAGTACATCACCTTTTTTCACAAAATATATATCTAAGGGATAATATGCTGCAAGTCGCTCATTAGATTAAAGAGGCCCTATTATGCTTTTTGAACATTAAAGCGTGGAAAGATGTCACATTAGAGGCACAACATACAGATATGAACCTGAAAATGAGCACAATATGTCCTCTTCAAGGAACTTCAACAGGGTGATATGACCCTGACACAAAGTGGACAGGTTTAAAGGGTTCTTTCAATATAATACCCAGCTTACTGTACATTATTCTGCTGAATACATGGCAAGTTACTAAATGCATCAATAATATGAAGCATCATATTCATTTAAACATGATTGTATTGATTGAAAAATGTATTATTTTGCTTCCGCAAAGAAACAACGTTTATTTACTTTGTCGTCCAGCTCTCTGTGTCTTTTAACCTCTTTCCTTATCTTGTTTTCTTTTATTTGTACTCTTTTATGTTATTTACTGGAGACCGTTACGCCATCATGAATCCAAAGACTGCTGCGCTTCAGAAATTACTAAATGACTATTCAAAGAGTATTCCACTATGTTTTCTGATAAAAAAAGAATTTGTGCCACAGCAAATTTCAATTGACCGGATTTCTTTTTACGGATTGATATGACTGCAGGCTCTTCATTAGAGCGTCTTAAGCAACAGTCTGATATCCATAGCAACAGACTGCTTCCAATGGCAACGTTCTGCTATCCTCAGCAAATGTCTGCTATCCTTAGCAACGTTCTGCTATCTTTAGCAACGGGCTGTTATCCATAGCAACGGCCTGTTATCTGTAGCAACAATCTGCTATCCTTAGCGACGTCTGCTAACTTTAGCAACTATCTGCTATCCTTAGCAGCGGTCTGCTATCCACAGCAACAGATTCAAGATTCTTGAAGTCTTTATTGTCATACGCAGAGTCGCTACAGTGTAGTTATGACAATGACATCCCGAGCTCCTCCAACAGTGCAACATACAGTCTATAGGACATAAAACAATAAGTCAGTTAAACAAATAACAGTCTGCTATCCTTAGCAACAGTGTGCTATTGAAAAAGAGCAGAGCAATGAATGACCAAATTCAGGGCCGGCCCTTGGTATAGGCAGTATAGGCGAATGCTAAGGGCGCATCAATCAATGGGGGGCGCCAAAAACTTAAAAATAAATTAATTTAAAAAAAGTTAGAAATTTTTTATTTTTTAATTTTTTTAATTTCATAACAACAACATTTCCCGATTTTGGATCAACAAAGTACATCTTATTATCTTATACTAACAGAACTATGCCTATATTGCGTACAGCGCCTATAAACTATGGCGCACCCCCCCCCCAAATCAAATTGAACTGCCCCAGACCCAGGAAAGACCAGAGGTTTATGTGAAATAGTTCTTTTTTGAAATAATGGTTTTAGTGTGCAATTATAGGTTTTAAATGTTGTATTTGTGTTAATTTAAAATAAATCAAACTCCCAAAAAACGTATACAGCTTTTATTAACATTGGAATTTACTGTGTAAGCAGCCGCGGGGGGGAGAGCTTTAGAGAGCTCTCTCCTGAAAGACTGAGAGGCTCTGATAACCTAAGCTCAGTGAGGTAAAGGCACACCTTTATATGATCATTATAGCTATAAAAAAATAAGAGAATAGATTTTCATCTATTCTCTTATAGTATAAAATACTATATGACAGTAAAATAAAGTTGTTATTAATAAACAAGAATACAGTTTAAAAGGGGAGTGATTTGTAAAATATCCATAAAGAAAAAGAAAATCTGCTTCCAGCTCTGTTTCATATGGGTGTTGAGAGATGTATCCATAGATCTCTTAATGTTGCTCTCAAAGTGCAGCAGATTGATGCTTTTAACTTCAATATTTAAAAAAAAATCTTCGGACCCGCCTTAGAGAGGTGAGGTCCACCCCCCACTAAATCATGCAAATGATAGATACTAAAATGACATTGCCACACTCTGTTCCATACTTCTGTTTTGTGGTGGCCACAACCGTGCATGCATACGCGAATCATTTTGAGTGTCTGCATTTTTTGGGTGTGCCCAGCTAAAATCTCTGCATCGGGCGCAAATTGGCAGGCGCCCTCAGCAGCAATGTTGGGTGAAGGTTCAGGACACACGACAGCTGACTCAGTGGACTCAAACTTGCTTGGGACTCTGATCAAAGATCACGCATCAACCCCACTGCCACACCCCACCTCTTTGTAACCACCAGGCCAAACCCAGATCTCGAAAAGTCTTGCGCTATCCGCCACACTGAGTCACTAGTCGGCTGTTCTGAAAGAGGAGAGGGGGGCAGCATGAGTCGGGCCGGACAGATTGCTGCGAAACTCCTCTGACAGGAAACGGAAAAAAAATAAAAAGGAAAGCCTTTCAGTGAAGAAACTGGGTCTTCTGTCAGGATTTGAGCGACAAAGATGCCACTGACAGACGACGGCAGATGACCACTAAACAAGGCTCAGGAATCAAGAATGAAGCCCTGCCCCCCCGTAACGAAGTCAAATAACAATTTGGATTCCTGAGATTTCAAATGACTTTCCACGAGGTGGCAGCAGCTATCCGTTTCGGTTTTAGCAGGCGGACCGTGGTTCTGCAGAGAGAAAGCCCCTTCGCGATGATTGAAAACACCACTTAGCAACATTGCAATTGAAATATTGACAACTGTAGCAGCACGAGTTTAGACAAGATGTAACACAACGACTG